GGTCCCAGGCAAGGGAAAATTGCCTTAGCCTCCAGGTCTTCACCTGGAAGCTGAGGTAAGTACCCAGTGTTTTAATCAGATGCAAGAGCCAGACTTAGCAGGGTTAAAATTCAAACAGCAGTTTTTACCAAAGTATGGTTGCCACTATATTTCATTTAAAATAAATAAATAAATAAAACGGAATTGCCTTTTGCCCTAACCAGTTTGGCTCAGTGGACTGAAAGATCCCAGGTTTGATTCCGGCCAAGGGCATGTTCCTTGGTTTCAGGCACATCCCCAACAGGAGGTGTGCAAGAGGCAGCTGATCCATGTTTCTCTCTCATCCATGTTTCTAACTCTCTATCCCTCTCTCTTTCTCTCTATAAATAATCAATAAAATATATTTTTAAAAAATAAAATGGAATTGCCCTTTGACCTGTGATTCCACTTCTGGGAATATATCCTAAGAATCTTGAAACACCAATCAGAAAGAATATATGGACCCCTATGTTTGTAGGAGCGTTATTTACAATAGCCCCAATCTGGAATCAGCCCGAGTGCCCATCAGTAGATGAATGGACAAAACAACGATAGTACATTTACACATTGGAATACTACTCAGCTGTAAGAAAGAAGGAACTTGGGAAATTATTACATTAAGCAAAATAAGCCAGTTGGACAATATATACCATATGATCTCAAAAATAAATACCATATGATCTCACTAATATGTGGAATCTAATGAACAAAATAAACTGATAAACAAAATAGACCCAGAGGCATGGATACAAGGAACAGACTGACAAATGTCAGAGGGAGGGGGGAGGCAGGGAGGGCTGGGTAAAGGAAGGTGAAGGATTCACTAGAGAACATACATGGATAGCTCGGGGACACAGACAACAGTGTGGGAGGCACGGGGGGAATGTGGGGGCTGGATGGAGGCGGGCAAAGGCGAGAAATGGGGGACATCTGCAATGGTGTCAACATTAAAAATTTTAAATTAAGATGGGAAGTAGGTGTGTTGGACTTTGTTAGACGGCAGGCCTCAGACACACCGGAGGTTCACTTGGATTGGCCCAGAGAGGGTGTGTCCCAGCTGCCCATCTGGGGCTGTTACTCCGCCTGTCACCCTCCCCCCCCCCCATTCCACCAAGGAACCTGGTGAGGAAGGTGATGTGAGGGGCCCCCTCCTGGAAGGGACCCCCTCTTTTCCACAGACGGGAAACAGAGGGGAAGTGACCTGGCTTCTGCTAAGCCTGATGGTGTCAGAGCCAGAGCAAAGGCCCGAGTCACGGACATCCAGTCCCATCACTATTCCCTTCCACCATCCAGCCAATCACTGTTCCCTTCCACCATCCAGCCAATCACTGTTCCCTCCCACCATCCAGCCAATCACTGTTCCCTTCCACCATCCAGCCAATCACTGTTCCCTTCCACCATCCAGCCAATCACCATTCCCTCCCACCATCCAGTCCAATCACCATTCCCTTCCACCATCCAGTCCCATTACCGTTCCCTTCCATCATCCAGTCAATCACTGTTCCCTCCCACCATCCAGTCCCATCACTGTTCCCTTTCACCATCCAGCCAATCACTGTTCCCTTCCACCATCCAGTCAATCCCTGTTCCCTTCCACCATCCAGTCCCATCACTGTTCCCTTCCACCTTGAGAGTGTCTCACCTCAGACTTGGAGGCTCTAATTACCCCCTCTCCCTGGCCCGTATACACACACACACACACACACACACACACACACACACACACGCCTCTGGCTGAAAGCTGGAGGCGGGGACGGCTCCCGAGTGGCAGTTTTCCATCTTTAGATGCCCTTCCTACCTGAGCAGGTGGGAAGGACGTGGCGGGAGGCGGCAGTGCAGGGAGGAAGTGCTCTGGAGTCCAAAGGGACTCAGGTCTGCAGCTGGCCGCCGGCTCCCCATCTGCCACATGGCAGCGGTAACACCGGTGTCCTAGCTCCCTGGGTGTCCCGATCTCTTGGGAACAGACTTACACTGACTCTAGAAAGAAACGAAGGAAGCTGGTGCCACTGGAAGGGCTGCTGGTGGGCAGCGGGGAGGGAGACGTGTGTTGCGCCCATTGAAGAAGTAAGTACTTACCTATGAGTGATTTTTTTAAATAGTGCCTGGTGCTCAATGTAAGTGCTGGTTATTTTGATAAAGAAGTTTCACACAGCCGAGACTGGTTTGGCTCAGTGGATAGAGCATTGGCTTGGGAACTGAAAGGTCCCAGGTTCGATTCCGGTCAAGGGCATGCACCTTGGTTGCGGGCACATCCCCGGTAGGGGGTGTGCAAGAGGCAGCTGATCGATGACTCTCTCTCATCAATGTTTCTAACTCTCTATCCCTCTGTCTTCCTCTCTGTAAAATATCAATAAAATATATTTAAAAAAAAAACAGTTTCACACAGGCCCCGCTCCTGACCATCTCTTTCCCTCAGCTTCCCGTTAGAGCGTGGGCTGCAAACCCCAGGCAGGTGGTGAACATGTGGGTTCAGGTCCCTGTGCCCCCCGCTTACTAGCTGGGTGGCTTTGGTAGCTGTTCTGCCTCAGTTTCCTCGGTAATAAAGGACACGAATGGTCCCCACCAGGGGCCAGCAGGATTTAATGAGAGCAGAGCTGGGCATGTGCCCGGCACAGCATGGAACACACCTCATCATCAGGGGCCACTGTCACCCACATTTGACAGATGAGGAATGGGGGCAGAGTAACGTGTCGGCAGTCACTCAGCTGGTAACTGGTGAAGCCAGGACCACACCCAGGCAGTCTGGTTCCAGAGTGGGCGCCCCTAACCACCGCACCTCCCAGCCTCTCCTGCACACATCACATATTCAGAGCGCCTGGCACACGGAAACTGCTCTGTAAGTCACAGCTGTGACTGTGGTTGATATAGGCTAACACACACTTCCCCAGGTCACTTGGTAAAACACTTTGGGGCAGGGCTATGGCACAGCTCCTACCTTCTGGAGGCAGGAAGCATTTAGCCAAAGGAACGTGCGGTGCTCAAAGCCTGGGAGGGATTCCCGCCTCGGTTCTCCCACATGCACACATTCCATAGCCAGGCCTCACAGCCCAGGGCAATGACACACTCCGCACCCCTGCTCCTTCTTGCTGGTCCTGGCGGCCTCAGACACCAGCCCAGAGACACCCCCGGAACCTAAGGAAGCCAGTGTCCACAGTTACAACCACTCCCACCACCTGCCAGACAGGCTGCAGGACCGGCCCCTGCCAGAGACGAGCTGCTCTCTCCTCTGGTCAGTGCTGCCCATGTGGGGCGCCCACAGGGGCGTTTGTCAGTCTCCCCCGACCCCACACATGCTATAGCCAACTCTGTGTTAATGAAGGCCAGGCTGAGGTGCCCCCACACGTCAGCTGGATTAGGCCTTGGCTTACACACACACACACACACACACACACACACCATACCACAAACACAACACATACACACAAGGCTCAGAATTAACACCCAGCCTTACCCACAAAACCCAGCTGGGTGGAGGGTGAGGGACCCAGGCCACCATGGATAAAGCATTAATCAGATAATCTGATTATGAATGATTGAGCTCATGGTTAGTGTCCATGTCTAAAGCCACTGAGTGAAATTCCAAGGGAGAGAAAGGCTCAGGCGGCTCAGGCCTCATTGCCCATCCACAGAGCCACCCACGCACACCCTCACCCACTCCGTAGGTGGTTCCTCCTCTAGCCCCACCCCCTGCCCCCACCCCCATCATACCTGGAGACACAGGGGCCGGGTGCGGGCAGAGGGTTTCAGGATTCAGGTCCCCATTTCCCAGCCTCAGTGGTGCACACTCTGTGATGTTCCCAGGTGAGGGGAACAGCTTTCATGTAAGGTTGCCATCCAGCTAAGGCAAATCCAAATCTTTTGGAAATGTTCCTCCAGCTCCCTGCTCCTCCTGGGGAGGCCTAGTCTAGACACCACCAGACTTCACCTCCTCCCAGAGGAATGGCAAGCAGCCCCTCCTGCCCAGCTGGGGACGGGAGGGGGGCACCTGGGGAGGTCCTGTGCCCAGCACAGCTGAGGACAGCTCAGCCCAGATCAGTGGCTGGTGATGGCCCAACTCTCCTGGAGAGGAGGGGAGGGGGAAGGGGAGGGGGAGGGGAGGAGGAAAGGAGGTGGGGCAGAGAAGAGGGGAGGAGGGGAGGAGGAAAGGAGAGGAGAGGAGAGGAGAGTGAGAAGGAGGAGGAGGAGACTGAGAAGGAGAAAGAAGGAGAGGGGAGGAGAGGAGGAAAGGAGAGCGAGAACAGAGAGGGGGAGGAAGACGCGTAGAAGCGGCGGGAGACTTGAAGAAGCGGAGAGGGGAGGTGGATTGGCTCTGTCTTCCTCCGAACCCGGAGAGAGAGGGCGGGGGGAGAAGGGAAACCCCCTCAGCCGGGAGTGGATTTTTCCTTTGGTCTCTTTCCGACTTCCTCACGCGGAAGAGCCTCTCGGTTCTCCTTCGTTGCTCGGACTTTGTGCCCACTTCGAGGCGGGGAGAAGGGGAGACTTTTGCAAAGGGGAGAGAGAGAGAAGGGGGATAGGAGGCCTAGTGAGCCAGCCTGCAAGCACAGGTGCTGCCACACTCTGGGCCTGACCCGGAGAAGTAAAGGAGCTGGAGCTCAGACAGGGCCGCTGTTTGGTTGTGAGAAGAGGAAGGAGCCTCAGGTGGTCGGAAGCGGCGGGGAGGGGGGGGGGGCACAGCTGCAGGGAGGGCACAGCTGCCACAGCAGAGCCACTGCTCAGAACCCAGGACCCACCCGAACTCCTCCCCCACAGTCTGTATGAAACGCTCCTTGGAAGCCTGCGTGGAGGACACAGCCAGGACACACCTGCTAAGCCCCGTCCCGCTGCAGCGCCCGCCTCCCACGGGAGGTGCTCAGCAGACACGGAGCTGTTCTTCATGAGACCCCAGGCAAGTGGGTGGGGGGTGGTATCTGGGAGCCTGGTCCGTCCGTGTCCCCATGGTGGGGGAAATGGGAGGCAGGGAGGCGGGGACTCGGGCGCTGTACCTGTATCCTGTCTTCCGGCAGCTCCGTCTTCATGGCCAGCATCTCCCGGGCATAGACGTCTGGGTAGTGGGCCTCGTTGAACGCCTTCTCCAGCTCCTCTAGCTGGTAGGAGGTGAAGATCGTCCTGCGGGGAGCAAACGGGGACTCAGGGCCCTGCAAAAGGACGGGGCTGCCCCAGAGAGGACAGAGCGGCCCTCCCCTGTGCCTCTCGGACAGACCCCAAACCCAGGGGCTCAGCACAGTCAGACACACTCCCACACACACACACACACACACACACACACTCTCCCATGTGCACGTGCATGCACACGTGCTTGCACACACTCAGCTTCGCTCTCTGACTTTTCTTCTTCCAAGGCTGAGGATGCCCAGGGTGGTGGTGGGGATTAGTTCAGCCCGCGGGGGCATCTCAGGATAGGAATCTTTCTGGAAGAGCTTTTGGGGGAAGGGTGCTAGATAGACATTGGAGAAGACGGCGGAGGGCCCCTCTTCCCCCTCCCACGCACAGGCCACAGGTAAATAATGCCCCTCCCCCTAGGACCTGCTCCCTGGCTCCTCTCAGACATTCACATCGCACTCACCCCAAGATCAAAGACAGCTGCGACCCCAGGACCCCAGTGTTTATGCAACCGAGGACTGACTGTCCCTCCCCTGGGGCCCACCCAGCACTCCGCCCTCCTCACCTGCCCAGCTCCACCAACTCCTTACAGCTGTTCTGGAGTTGTAGGGGTGAGGACTATGACGGGGAGAGAACACCATCCTTCCACCACCCCCCCCCCCCACAAGCTGGGAGGCACACCCAGGGGGGCCCATCGGGGGAGTTCCACTCAGGTCGCCCTGAAATAACCTACCTCCACAGCCCCCCACCCCCACTGAGCAGTTCACCTTGACCTATTTTGGATCCGACTGCTTTAAGAATCTGACAAAAGCTACATCCTCTCGCCCTAGGAAGACGTGCAAACAAATATGCTCCGGCACATAAAATTCCCCTTCCAATACCAGGGGGTTCGCAGACATGCTTTCTTGAATAAACACACCACCCATCCACTTCCAGGCACAAATTCTTCTTTTTTCAGACCTGAATGTCACCGAGTTCTAGGTGGCCTTTATGTCATCGACAAGCCAACAGGCAACAGAGTCCAGATGCCACACGCTCAGCCCGTAAACATGGTGCCCTCCTCGCTGCAGCCCGGGGGCCGGGGACTGGGGACAGCACTGGGGTTCAGAATCCCCCACTGCCGCTCTCACGCTCCCCACACAGGGCGGGTTTGTCTCCAGGATCTCGGGGGTCTGAGGCAGGGGACCTTGAGGAAGAAGGATTCTGCTCCTCGTAGAAAACGACGGGTTTGATTCTAAATCGTTTCTCCTCTCCTCTTGGGGGTGGTGATGAAAGGCGTATGCAGAAAGTCATTTCTTCAGAATTCTGAAGACATTCTGTTTCTCTCTTGCCACTTACTGAAAGGTCCCCTCCACCCGGTGTCAAAACAAACAATCACAACGTGCGGCGTCCTTTCCAAAACGAGGGAAACGGAAGCAAGCACATAGGCAGGTGCTGTGGCCGCAGCCCAGCCCAAGAGAAGAGCTGACAATAGGCTGGCTAAGACCCCCTTCAAGTGCACGCTCTTTGCTGAGGAGAGCTCAAGCTCGCACTCAAAACACAAAACCAAGCCTCAACCCCCCCCCCCCCAAATTTCCCCTCATTCCTGCCTCAGAGCCAGCCCGGGCTCCCCAGAACCCTCCCACAATGTGACCCCAAAAACCTGCTCCTGGCTTTCTGCAGCAGCCCAGAGTCCCCCCTGTCTCCTGCCTGAGCTTCCTGGGCACAGAGAGAGGAAAAGCATTGACTCCCAAGGCTGCCGGCCCCTCCTCTCTCCCCTCTCCAACCCCCATAATCCCGGGATGTTTCTGGGGAAGAAGCGATGTCCGGCTCCCCTCACCAGATTCCAGGGGCTCTTCCCTGAAATCTCCAAACGAGGGAAGCTCAGAATAACGTTTGTGTTGTTTTTAAAAAACTAATTAAAAACGGCACTGGCCATCAGTAATCGTTCTCCTCTCTCCAATAGTCGACTTCCTTCACGCACCAGACATAGCCAGAAACCTGGGGCAGGTGGCGAGCTGTCCTGTCCCCCTGAGAACCCTCCAGCGCTCCCATAGGATCCCTGGTGGAGAGGGTGGCAGGTGAGGACAGAGGGTCGGGAGGCTGAAGCACGGCCTTTGGGCTGGGGGTCAGCCAGCTCCAGGTGCCACCCAGGGAGTGGGGCATGCTCTTCCCAGGGCTCTGCTCAACCCCCTGGAACCCTTTCTTCCTCCTTCCCCCTCGCACCAGCGCGAAGCAGTTCAGCGGGTGGGTCCTTCCCTGGTGGTCTGGTCCCTGTCCCCGGACTACCCCGAGACCAGCATGCCGTGGGTGCGAAAGAGATGTTTTAATGAATATTCGTTGGGTAAACGAATGTAAAAAAAAAAAAGACCCAGGATCAGGACTAAAATAAAATGTTTCCATTTAAGATAAAATAAAACAAACTGAACAAAACCTAACAGCTGACTGAAGAGAAGGAACAAACCAAGGCCATGGAGACACCAAGTCAAAGTTCACTGGCACTCAGGCGGGAGCCTGCTGGGGTCGGAGGGCTCAGGAGGGGCCCTGTTAGAAGGTGGGGGCCAGGAGTGCCATTTCCCAGGGTGAAGGGAAGAGGGAACCGCAGCAAAGCGCCCGGAGAAAGGGTGCGATGAGGCGGGAACAAACTGGGGTGAGAGAACCCAGAGGCACGGGGAAAAAGGGGAGGGGCCCATGGGGTGAAATGCCCTGAGAGCCAGGGGCGCCCACCGGGGCCCCCGGGCCCCCGCAGAGAGGAGTTTGGGGGAACAAATCTGGTGAGCGCGGGGACAGCGCCTGGAAGCAGCCCTGGCAGAAAGTCGGGCAGATGTTTGGTTCTCGCTGCTGCTTTCTTTCCTTTCAAAGCTCCTGGGGAATTCACACCAGAACCTGGAGCTGGTGGCCAGGGGGGTGCGGCCTGGGGTGAAGGGCTTCCTTTTCAAGATAAACCTTTTCTTTTCGAAGAAGGGATTGGATTTTAACTTTGTGTAAGCGATGCCTAGTTAAAGACATTTGTAAAGCTCTCTTTGTAGCTGAACCCCGGTGCAGCCCACTGCCCTCCGGCGAAGTCCACACATTGCCCAGTCTTTCCCCATTTTACAGACAAAGAAACTGAGGCTCAGAGGAGGGAAGCTATCTCCATGACCACAAGCCTGACGACCATTTCCCATCCGTGCAGACGGCGCGCCTGAGCTTTGGGGAAAGTGGGAGCGACACGGTTGCGAATGGCCAGCCCAGAGGCCGCGGGAGAGGAGAGCGGGCCGGGCGGAGGTGGGAGCCGAGCTGCCAGTGTGCGTGGCTCTCGGATGCGCAGGAGCCTGGACAGGACCTGGGGGCTGCCAGCCGCTGTCCTGTCCGGCTCTGGGGCCTTTCCTTTTTCCCAGAGGAGAGGAGAAAGCCTGGCTGGCCCGGGGCGCCTCCCTGGCGGCCTCTCCCCGTCCTCCAGGGGGGCGGCCGGCGCCAGGGCCCGGGGGTCCTCAACAGCGCCCGCTCCCCAAGCCCGGGCGCGGCCTGGGACCTCGGATCTGAGGGCGGCGAAAACGGGGTCCGAGAACCCCGAGCCCACCGGGGACGCAGGGCCGGGGTGGAGGCGGCGGGAGAGCCGCTAGCCTTACCTGTGCCGCCGCTTCTTGCGCTTCTTGGTCTGCGCCAGGGCCGCCTTGGACAGCTTGCGGTCGCTGGAGGACACATCCTCAGAGTCTGGGAACGGACAGAGACGTGCGGCAGCCCGGGGGGCGAGCACCGGGAGCCCCAGACCCAGGGTCCCAGCCTTCTGCCAGGCGGACCCCATCCCCAAGCCCAGGCTGGCGCTGCCCGTGCCGGCGCCCCTGATCGCAGGTTTGGAGCGGATTTCGTTGTAAGAGAGGCCGAGGCCCGGGGCTCCGGGGGCAGGGACAGCGGGAACCGGGCCGCTTCGGGGTGCCGGGGAGACCCCCGTGGCGCTCCGGGCTCCGCGCCCTGCCCCACGCTCGCAGCCCCGTTATCCGGGGACTGAAAACTGGCCCCCGGAGAGGGGCCGGGGCGCAGGCAGCGGGCGCGGGGCAGGGCTGGGCTCCTCCGGCGCCGCGGCCCCCAGTTCGGTGCCGGCACAGCGCGCCCCCGTTCGGGGCCGGAGACGCCGCGCCGCGGCTCTTTTCGTTGTTGTTCTTTTTTTTTTTTTTTTTTTTTTTTTTTTCAAATAAAAATAAATAAAACGGTAACGGAAAATCGGGGGGCGGGGGAGGTTCGGCGCACCCCAGGAGCCGGAGGCCCGAGCGGCCGGGGACGCTAGGCCGGGACAGGGGTCGGGCGGGTGTGGCCGGGTCGGGGCGGGCCGCGGACCCCCAGGCGCCGGGATCCCACACGCAGAGGCGCTTAGGGGGGATCCGATGGCCGACCCAGCCGCTTCGGTGGCCTGTTGTCCAAGCTCATGGGTGAAAACAAACAAACAAACAAACAAAACAAAACCAAAAAAAACCCACCCACAAACCCTGACAAAACCGGGGAGGGAGTTTGGGATGGAGGCAAGAAAGGAAAAGACAACTTTGGGCGCCTGGGCCGGGCGACGCTGGCACCCGCCCCGGGGCCATCAGCGCGCGGAGGAGAGCGCAGGTTCTCCCAGAGGCTGGGCCACCGCGGAGCAGGGAAACCGGGGCCCAGCCGCCCCAGGGCTCTGACACCCCCGCCCGTTTCCAGGGGGTCCCCAACCGGGCGCCGCGCCGGAGCCGGGACCGGCGCGGGGAGAGGACGGCGCCGGGGCAGGAAGCCTGGCGGCGCCCGGGGCATCCTCCCGGCCCCAGGCCCCGGGCTCCCCGGAACTTCTGCGCCCAAAGGATGGCCTTGCGGTGCAAGCGAGAGCCGGTGGCGGGGGTGGGGGGTCCCGGCTTCGGCCCGAGGCGGGCAGCGCCCTCACCTACCTGAGCTGGCCGTCTGGCTGGCGTCCAGAGGCCCCGACGCCCTGCCCAGCGGCTGCAGGTGGACGCTCTGCGGGTCGGACAGCACCTCCAGGAAGGTGGGCTGCGCGTAGAAGCCGGGGAGCCCCCCGGGCCCCAGCAGCCCCATGCCGCCCACCCCCGCGGGGCTGAGCACTGAGCGCGCCGCCAGCAGGTGCCCCGAGGCCAGGCCGTCGAGGGCGGCGCGCGGGTGGGAGCTGGGGGGCTCCTTGTTCAGGCCCAGGATCTCCTGGATGCCGAAGCCCGTGCACCGGGCCGGGGCGCTCCCCGGGGAGCTCTTGGCCACCGTCTCGCATTTGGGCTTGCTCAGCGCTTCCCCCGATTTCCCCGTCATCTCCCGGCTCTTCCTTCGCAGGGGCCGCGGCGCCGGTCTCCAGCTCCCCCCGCCCCACCCCCGCCGGGCTCGCCGCTCCGCCAAGTTGGTCCCAGATGCCCCCTCCGGTGTCTGATGCTCTCGAGCCCCAAGGAGATTCCCCTTTTATCCAACCAGGCGGCAGCCCAAGTGGGGTCAGAGCTGAGCAGCCAATCGCTGGGGCCAGGAGCGATTAGGAATTCCAAAAAGCTGGCAGCGCCAGGGGCCAGGGCGCCGTGGGCGGGCCGCCCAGGGGCAGGGACCCGGGGCCTGAGCTGGCACAGAGTGGGGCCCCTGGTCCAGGACGTTGGGTGATGGGTGGGATTCTGGCAGAGCCTGGCTGGGACCTGCCCCTACAGTGGGTGGGAGGATAGGCTGGGGCAGATCTTGGAAACCTGACCCCCTATCCTCAACTCTTTTGCAGGTTGGAAGGGTCTAAGAAAGCCTAAATATAGGACCCCTGTGTGACAGGCAGAACAAGGGAGGGGCAAGAGCCTTGGTCAGGGTTGTGAGGAGGAGGATGGGGGGTAGAGAGAAGGAGACGGGTATGAAGAAAGCTCAAGGCTTTTCTCCCCAACTCTAATTCAGAAGAGCTACTCAATCAATATTGGCTGGATGAATAAATGAATGCTAAGAGGGCCGGGAATGGGGGTCCCGGGTGGGAAAGAAGAGCAGGGGTGACTTCTTTTGGATAACAGCCCTGGATGTCTGAGCATCTTCCTAGAGTAAGCATGAAGCCCGACATCCATGGAAGGTCTCCATTTATTCTTTTTCTTCATTTTTTTTTAATTAAGGTATTATATGTGTACATTTCTTACCATTGTCCACTTATTCTTTTATTCATTCATTCAACTGCCATGTATTGAGCACTTTATTAGTTAGGCTTAGGGACCAGGGATCTGCAGTAAATCAGATAGGCAAGGCAAGGGGTCTGCCGTCCTCAGAGTTCACTGAGCAGCAGGACAAAGAGGATGGGTTGTTGGTGTGGAAGGGAAGGAGGAGGGAGGGTGTGAAAAGGTGCGCTTCTATCTCCAGGTGATGGAAAGCTCTTGACTAACTCCTGTGTTGAAAGCTGCAGAATTACAGCCAACTGGGCTCGTTGAGAGGCAGAGAGGCTGAGGAAACTGCGTGAGGCAGGATGGGGCCTCACCTGGAGAGAAGAGAAAAGCCCCAATTCCAAAGCTGCTGGTCTCCAGCTTGAGGGCTCTGAGGAGCATGGCCTCCTTGGGCCCAAGCGTCAAGTGGTGTCCACACACACACACACACCACACACGCACACCACACACACACACACACACACACACACACAAACACACACCACACACACCACACACACACACACACACACACACACACACACACACACACTGGACCCCTGAGTCCCTGCACTGTACCACCTCAGCTAACTCCTCTGTGACCTTGGGGCCAGGGACTATCGACCTTGACACTCTCCACTGTGTCAAGCATAAAGCAGGTGTTGTTTTGTTTAGAATTTTAGAGGATGTTTAATACAGCTGGGGACAGTGAGACAAGGACGGGCTAGGGAAATGAGCCTGGGTGGGGCTGCTTTGGCTCACTAAGAAATAGAGAAAAGGAGGCCTTGGGCACAGGTTCAGGGGGTTTGCTGGGATGAACTGCCGCTGCCCATTGCTGCCCTGGTTGCGAGCCTCGTGGGGTCCCTTAGGGTTTAGGAGGTATATGCCTGTCAGGAGAAGAAAGAGGAGTGGGGAGGCAGGGACATGCTCCCAGAAAGGAGAGTGCACCCACACAGCAGGCTTTACGTGAAGATACCCTATGAGGGGAGATACAGAAAGGGTCAGTTGCTTTAGGCCGAGACTGGAAAACCAGGCTGGGGAAGAGAATTCACTCAAGATTTCTTGACCAGTCAGCTGCAAACCCTAGTAGAGTGAAACACCCTAACTCCCCCCAGCCTTCTGCCAAGGAGTCTAACACTCGCTGTGGTTACCAACGGGGCAGACAGAGGAAAGAGGAGATCCTATAGGATGTAGAATTGAGGTCTTGCTAACAAGGCTATTGTGAGTTGAGTCTCTGCTCACTCCCACCTGGTCCAATGAGTCAGAATTAGTCGGAGGCATCTCTCAGGGCAGAAGGTATCTGGGAATGCCATGCCTACTGTGCACCGACAAGGCCTCAGCCCCTTTGTATGGTGTAATCTCTGGTCCTCGCAAGAACCCTGCTAGCACCCTGGTTAGCACCACATCTGAATGATGGCATAGTTATTCTTCTTGGCCAGGTGCAGACTCGGGGAGATGCAATCTTGAGGCCTCTTTCACCTTGTAGTCTATGGGGTTGGGTTCCATGTGGCACGCACTCACATAAACGACAATGTCAATGGTGCCCCCTGGAGTTGTGCAAAGCAGTGGCTTTGACTCCAGATAAAAATTTCTATGTTTCTGTCCCCATCTTAGGAATGTGGAAACGTCGTTTCTCACAGAGGTTAGGTAACTCGTCCTGAGCTACCTAAGCTAGTGAAGCAGCAGAGGCCAGCCTCAGCCTCAGATGAGTCTGGTGTCAAAAGCTGTTCTCTTTGGACTCCATCCCTCTCTCGGCCTCCCCTCCGAGCCAGCCTACCCTGGAAGGATGCATAGGAATGTTATGTTAATGGCATCTGTCACGTCCCTGACTTATCACGGGACATCCACGATGAGCCAGATGCCGGCCGACGGGCAAGGACGTGAGTGATGGAAAACAAGTGTGTGAGTGATGGAAGCTCGGCTCTCACCAGGAAATGAGGATGAAAAATCTCTTGACCAAACACTGTCTGAAGCTGCCGGTCTCCTCTCCCAGGAAGACAGTCACCATCCTGCCTGAGGAGGTTGGGGATGGGGACAGCCCAGGCCCTCTGAGCACTCTTGCCAGGGGATACAGGAGGGCCCAGCACCAGCCCACAGCCAGTGCCATCCCCAGAACTGGACTCCTGACAGATTCCTGGCCTGGGGGCTGTCTCTGAGCTTTGGGGTGTCATTGTTACTGCTCACAGCGCCCGTCTTAGCCTAGTCCCAGACTCAAGACATTTGTGGACTCTGGGGAGAGCCCCATAGGAAAAGGCTGGCTCCAGAGCTTGGGCTGGGATTGGGAGGGGACTGAAGCTTACCTTTCAGAGGCATTTAGCTTGATCACTCTGAATCCATTCCTGGGTCTGCCACCTACCAGCTCTGTGGCCTTGAGCTTCAACTACTCTCTTAGCTTCAATTGCTTTTGCCAATAAAACAGCCTGACACGGGGCTTGTGAGCATCCCCTGAGCCCTGAGTTAGCATAGGGCTCTAGAGCCAGGCTGTCGGGGTTCAGACTGGCACTATCACTTACTTGGTGACTTTGGGAAAGTTACCCAATTTCTCTCTGCCTTCTGTACCTCTGTTTTCTCACTTATAAAATGGGGGTAGTGCCAAAACTGGTTTGGCTCAGTGGCTAGAGCGTCAGCCTGCAGACTGAAGGGTCCCAGGTTCAATTCCGGTTAAGGGCATGTACCTTGGTTGCGGGCACATCCCCAGTAGGGGACGTGCAAGAGGCAGCTGATTGATGACTCTCTCTCATCGATGTTCTTAACTCTCTATCTCTCTCCCTTCCTCTCTGTAAATATATATATATATATATATATATATATATATATATATATATATATATATATTCTTATAAAATAAAATAAAATAAAAAATGAGAGTAGCCGTAGTAATTACCCCTTACCATTGTCATGAAGATTAGACATGTACACAGGCTATAAAGTGAGTGTACAAAATACGGGTCCTGTGAGCTTTGGTTATTATTCCCATTGTGCTGGAGGATGCTTGGGACTATCGATATGGTGGGGGAACAAGGCAGATCTAGTCCTTGCCTTTACGGGATTTGGACCAACGATCGAAAGGGTGATGTTTGTAAAGCACTTAGCAGGGTGTCTGGCCTTGGGGACTCAATACATGTAACTCTTGTTATTACTATGAATGGGTGTCAGGCCCTTCATCAATTTAATCCACTCAACTTCTCCGACAGGTCAGAAGTTCTGTCCCCCTTGTTACAGAGAAGGCCCAGGGAGGCCGATGAGGGCGAGGGAGGATGCCATCTCTGGCCCTGGCCGAGGTGCTGGTCATTTTTAGCATCAGCTGCAGCAAGTCACGTTCCCCTATAGCTGTCTCCCCGAGGCACTCCCCAGCCACCAGCAACCATTTTTGGAGGGAGAAGGGGCAAAAAATGCAAGAAAGAAAAAGGACCTGAGTTTGGATCAATAATTGCATTATGAATCTGTCCTAGGACTCTGTTTCACTTTTTTTTTTTTAACTTGGATCCTGATTGTTGGTGTTTTTTTTTTGTTTGTTTGTTCTTTTTTTTTTTTTTTAAATATATTTAATTCATTTTTTACAGAGAGGAAGAGAGAAGGATAGAGTTAGAAACATCGATGAGAGAGAATCATTGATCAGCTGTCTCTTGCACACCCCCTACTGGGGATGTGCCCGCAACCAAGATACATGCCCTTGACTGGAATTGAACCTGGGACCCTTCAGACCGCAGGCCGACGCTCTATTCACTGAGCCAAAGTGGTTTCGGCTTGTTTTGTTCTTGTTAATCCTCACCAGAGGATATTTTCCATTGATTTTTAGGGAGAGTGGAAGAGAGAGGGAAAGACAGAAAAACATCGATGTGAGAGAACACATGGATTGGTTGTCTCCTATATGAGCCCCAACCAGGATCCTGGATGGGGAGGATCCTGCAACCAAAGTATATGCCCTTGATTGGAATTGAAACAAGACCCTTTGGTTTGCAGGCCAACGCTCTATCCACTGAGCCAAACCAGCTAGGGCTGTTTCACTTATATATATATATTTTTTTTTTCCTTTTTTTTTAAGATCAATCTTTATTGTTCATATTGTTACAAAGGTTCCTCATTTCTTCCCCCCTCCACCAGGTTCCCACCCCACCCTCCGCCCCCTCCCCATCCCCCATTGTCCTCATCCATAGGTGCAGTTTATGTTCAGTCTCTTCCTCCCTCCCTTTCCCC